ATGCTATCAAAACTAGATTCCTGTTTTTACCATTCTTATTTAACACTGTACTGAAGGTTCTGAAGTCATAGAAACTGTTCAAGAAACAAAACAAAAAAATAATCCAGATTGGAAAGAAAATAGTAGAGCTATCTCTGTTCTCAGATGACATGATCTTACGTAGAGAGAATCCAATGCATGTAAGGAACCAGAAAGGGTTATATGAACCATATATACAAACCCTATAGCTTCTCAGGATTGTAACAAAGCTTACCATGAAGAGGGACAGTGAGCCAAAGGCCAAGATTTTTGTGAACTAGGAGTAGGGAACAGAGAGGTGGAGCTGATATTATCAACAGCTCTAAGCCTCAAAGAGGCTTAAAAATACTTCATTTAGAAGTGGCAATGAGGGCCTCCCCTGGTGGCGCAGGGGTTGAGCGCTGGGCCCGCAGCCTCTGCAGCGCCGGGTTCATTCCCCCTGGCCGCTGGCGAGGGTCCCACAAAAAAAAAAAAAAATGGAGTGGCAAAGAAATGAAAAGAAAAGACCCCCACCTATAAACAGCAAGTACTAGAGGGAGTGGAAAATAAAACATCTTCAGGTAAGACTGCTACTAAGGAATTACTATATTTAGGAAAGAGTTAGGTTTCAGATCTACAGGAAAAATTAGGAAAAGAAGGATGTGAATTTGTTAGAATGTAAGATTTCCATGTAGCATAGTGGAAGGTGTAGGAAAAATGGGAGAGGTCCAGGGAGAAAAGGAATGAAAGGTGAGGTCTGGTGAAAAAGAGTACAGTATAATTAAGGAAATAAAGAAAAACTTCATCAGTGGTTCTGAACAACCAGTTCCCTGGAATTATAGAAAGACACAATTCTGTAATTAACTATGACAAAAATGACATTTGAAGGACAGACAGGAAAGGGAATCAACAATCAAGAAGTTATATGGGCCTCCTTGGTGGTACAAGGGGTTATAAACACAGCACCTATGAAGCAATCCGCAACCTCTGCAGCACCAGTTCGATTCCTGGCCAAACAGGAAGCAACCCACATGGTGCAGCGGACCTCTCCTGACTCCCCAGATGCTCCCCACAGCAGTGTAATTTCATTCAATCCGCCTGTTCTACTCCCCACTCTGTCTCAGGTGAATCCTCTCATCCCCCCCACCTCTGGCCTGTACCCCAGCTCTTCTATGCATAAATAAATAAATCTTTAAAAAAAAAAAAAAGTAGTTGTGCCTCCCTGGTGGCTCAAGGGGTTAAGACACAACCTAAGAAGCAATCCATAGCCACTGCAGCATGAGTTCGATCCCCAGCCAGGGAGCTACCCACATGACGCAAAAGACCTCTCCTGGCTTGCCCACTGCTCCCCTCAGCAGTATATTTCAATCTGCCTGTTCTGTTCCCCACTCTGTCTGGTGAATCCTCTCATCCCCCACACCTCTGGCCTGTACCCCAGATCTTGTATGCATAAATAAATCAATCTTTTAAAAAAGAGAGAGAGAGAAGTTATATAATGGTAAGGATTTTCACATTAAAAAGTATACTATTAAAAAGACCCTGGGATTAGTGTTCCCATACCTTTCTAAAAGGGTATAAGAAAGAAAATTGTAGTTTTAAGGTCTGCTGATATAAGGCTTATTTAACTTGGATGAAGTTTTATCTCTAACAGCCATGCTCATAACTGATTCAGGGGGGTCTATAAAGTCCCAAGCTCCACACAGTCACCCCAAAACCTGAAGGTATGAATACACTGGCTAAAACTACTCATGATTAAGCAGAGTGCATCAGCCCATTTGTTGAGCTGCACTAATTCAGTCAAATTAGCAATCCCCAAGAATTCTGTGCATTTCTTCTCCTCACTGAGAATCACCAGTGTGGATGATCCACAACTGCCTTAAAACACACTGTGCAGAAGGGATCTGTACTTATTGTTTTAGGAAATGGATACATATTTTTACCACCTTTTGCAAAATCGTGCTATATTTATATATTAAAAGAATCAGAGTGGGCGTCCCCGGTGGTGCAAGGGGTTAAGATGCAACCTATGAAGCTGACCACAGATGCTTCAGCATGAGTTTGATCCCCAGCCAGGGAACCACCCTCAGGGTGCAGCAGACCTCTCCTGACTTACCTGCTGCTCCCCTCAGCAGTGTATTTCAGTCAATCGGCCTGTTCTGCTCCCCACTCTGTCTCTGGTGAATCCTCTCACCACCCCACACCTCTGGCCTGTACCCCAGTTCTTGTATGCATAAATAAATCTTTAAAAAAAAAAAAAAAAGAAGAACCAAAGAGTCCACAATTTAAAAAAAAATCTCATTTAACATTAACTTTTTAATTCCCATACTCAGTCAATCAGAGAATCTCTCTTTGACACCTACTGACACCTAGAAAATGTTACTTAACTTTTCTAAACCTCAGCTTGATTAGGGACAGAGGCAATTACCTCCAGGCAGATAATTCCACTTTGGAAAAGTGTCATTAACAATCTTACTGTAAGCTGAAACTTGCCATCTTTTACCTTAAAATGCACAGATAACTTTGCTATTGAGAGAGATCACATCTATTCATTCCATCAAACCAAAAAACTAATAATGAATTTTAAATTAGTTCTCTGAAAATGCCATACTATTTCAGTTTTTTTGCACATGGCGTTGTTTCTCATCTGAGTATCATCCTTCTCTTACAGTTTCTACAGTCATATTTATCAGTTTGACTATCCTAGATGAAAACAATTGCTTCATGCTCCCCAGTCCTGTACACATCACTCCACTGAGACACCACACCACACTACACTGCACTAATAATGCATTGTAACTACATTCCTGTTTTTCCCACAGGTTCTGCGCACACTGACAGCAGGAAGTATCTATTACTCATCTTTGTATGGAATGGAAGAGGCACATGAATCTTCTACCTAACCAATAATTACTATTATATGCACTGTTAATTCTTTTTATCATCGGAACAATGTTTCCAGAAGTCATTACCAATCCACAGCTTTACTTCTCACACCATTTTTAAATTCATCTCCTCCTGAGAATTTAGCACAGGATGCAACATACAGATTCTCAATATGTTTGTTAAAAGGATGAATAAATATAAGCAAGTTGGGGTCCTCAATTTTCTTAAGTTGGCATTACATTTATGTTCCTATAACTAACCATTAAAAATGAGGTGGTGCAAGGGGTAAGATAACCAAAAAAAATGTGGTGGTGCAAGGGGTAAGATGCAACCTATGAAGCTCACCGCAGCCACTACAGCGCAAGTTCCATCCCTGGCCAGGGAGGTGACCCACATGGCGCAGCAGACCTCTCCTGCCTCGCCCGCTGCTCCCCTCAGCAGTATATTTTCCGTCATCTGCCTATTCTGTTCCCCACTCTGTCTCTGGTGAATCCTCTCACCCCCCAAAACTCTGGCCTGTACCCCAGTTCTTGTATGTATAAATAAATAAATCTAAAAAAAAAAGTCAAAATTTAAAAAAAAAAAATGAGGGAAAGTCCTCAATATTATCAACTAAGACTATCTTTACATAAGATTCTTGTCTGATAATACCAAATATCTGATGTTCATTCTTCATGAAAATCCCAGATGTGAGAAACAGAACCACCAAAATATCCCTGGAAGGATATGTACTCTATTCATTCTTCTAGATCTCAATTTTAATATTTGCACCACATTATATTAAATCAACAGAGGGATCTCTATTTGGACCTCCTCATTTCATGACCCACTGACAACTATCATTTCTCACTTGGACTAGGTTGCCTTGAAGAACATACGAAACAAGCTTAAAGAATATCAGATTTCTACTTTGGGAAACTGGTCTGAGACTATTCACCCTATCACAAAGTATTCACCTTACAAAAACTTATGCAAAGCAATCTCTTGCAGGTTTATTTTTTTTTTTTAAGATTTATTTATTTATTTATATAAGCACTGGGTACAGTCAGACGCACGGGAGGGTGAGAGAAATCACCAGAGCCAGAGCAGGGAGCAGAGCAGGCGGAAGGACCTAAGTACACTGCTGAGGGGAGCAGCGGGCGGCAGGAGAGGTCTGCGCGCCACGGGGGACCCTCCTCTGGTGACCGGGGAGCAGCCGGGGATCAAACCGGTGCTGCAAAGGCTGCGGGCAGTTTCACAACCCAGCACTCAACCGCTGTGCCACCGGGAAGGCCCTCTTGCAGGTTTTTGCCACATAAAAGCAAATCAGTTCAAAAGAAACATAGTTTTTTTAATGTATTTTGTAAATCTTGTAATGGATGAAGTTTTGTTTTTTGTTTTTGCTATAGTAATCTAAAAAGTCACTTTTTCCCCCTTATCAAGAACAATCTGGGTGCATGTTTTCCTTCCATATTCTGTTTTCCTACTTTTATTGTCTGTATTATAAATTTGTTCAAATATAACCTCAAATCCCTAGTGGAATGAGATGAGAATGAAATGGAAAAAAAATAACTGCTATCATTGTGTGAGTACCAACAGAAAGCCAGATAATACTCTAGGCATTTTTATCCTGATCCTAAACACTGAGAGAAAGGTATTATTAACTATGTTTTACAGATCACAAACCTAACTTATGCTAAGCAAGTTTTGATCCCAGGTTTGAATGACTACAAAGTCACATATACTTTGAAAATTAACAGAATTCTATCACTGTAAATAATTTTTGGTTTTTTAACAGTACCTGAGGAATTTTTAACTTTTGATACTTAAGCAAAAGGAGACAAATCACCTGACATTAGTTTTACACATTATTTAAAAGATAATAAACTTTTTAATAGTCAACATTCAATAATATCTAATAATAATAGGTATAAAATATTTGTGATAAAGCCAGTTAGAACTGGGGACAAAGGAAAGAATTAGACATATTATTCCAATTAATATCACATACAACTTGAAATGTTATGAAATTTTGTGTGTGGCTGTGTGATTCTAAAAATCAGACCAAAAGTCAGTTTATAGAGGGTATTATGACTGAACATTAATCAGAGAGGAGAAAGTATTATCTAAACTAGACTCACCTGCTCAAGTCACTTTTTCCGTAGTGATGATAGTGGTCAGGATGGCTGAGATGGTAATGTTCCTGTCCACCCCATCTCTGGGGTGGTCTTTTCCAAAATCCTTCTTGAGATTGCCGAACATTTCTGTCTGGTCGGTCAAAGCGGTTCATATTGTCACACTCCACTACACAGATCCAAAAACAAAGCACTATTTAACATGTACTCGACTCTATAAAAGTTAACTACTTATAGTGTGACAATAAATGCTGTCGAAACATAAAAGCAATATTCTAAAAATTTCAGACATTTATGTTAGCTAATCACAAAAGCAAGATTTTCAGGGGGGGAAAAACTAGTTCTTTTGGTGAAATATGAACTTTGTATTACAAACTGAGGTAAATTAAAAAACATTCACATCACAGTCATTTATGTAGCAATTAACAGTCCCACTGTTTTAAAACAAGCAAATTATTCCTGAAAATCAACATTACACATTTTAAATACCACTAATCAGTTTTAAGTGGCCTTCTTCATTATCCCTAGTTCGTTCTGACTTCAGAATGAAAATGCTAAGAAAGAGTATAAGATTTTAAGTCTCGCATATAACTTACTCCTAAAAATGAATGCCAAAATCAATTTTCACTGATTTGAAGAAGCATAAATTAACTTTCATCACAAACAAAACTATATTTTTAAATTAAGCTCACAGATTTAGAAAGTAAGACGCTTCAATCGTCTGCAGTTTGATGTTCAAAAAGTACAAAATGCTACTGAAAACAAAGCTAGTACTTTGCAGCAACAAATAGTACACTCCCTAAAATCCAAAAGCCACAAAAAGGAAAAGAATCTCTTTGAAATATCCCGAGCTTCTCGTTCACTTACCCAAACACTTTTTCCTCACATATCTGAGCACTCACTAAGAGTGTTACTTTGTACAAGGAAGACATTGTGTCGCTGGCTGCCTACTCAGACATAGTTGCATACAAGGCACTGACAAACAAGCCTTCCTTCCTGCTCAACTCCCAGCCCTCCCAGTGGGAAGCAAGCCCAGTTTACCCTGTGACTCCATCTTCCCTCAGTGCTTACATAGTTACTGAGTTAGGACTGTTGCTAAAAATACAACTAAACATTAACCCAAGCCAGTAACAGAAAGGGTATCTCTAGACAGAGAATTATTACATCGGACACTTAAAATCCTGCACATTGAGAATTACAATAAAAATGCTTTAGAAATTAATATAATCCACTATTAAGAAAAAACTCAATATTTAAATGATTGTTTTCATTTAACCTAAAACCTGAATTTGAAATAGTGTTTCATTATAGCATTCCAGGGGAAAAAAAAACAAAAAACTTTCACACTCCAAAAAAGAATTTAAAATAAAACACAGATGTTTACTTCTCCTATATACTGAATTAGCTATAACATTTCTTCTAAATGCATAACAATTTAAGATTTTAAAAGACACTGAGTTTTGTTTATATTCCCCAAAGGAATCAATTTTGGGGAAAAACTGCATTTATATAGTTTTAAAAATTTTTAAAGAAGTTTCTGGAAAAGAAAGTGCTTTGCAGCAGACTTTACAATGTGATCAGGAAAGTTTTCACTAAAATTTGGCTTGAAAAAAGAAAAGTTCATATAAAAAAAAATCATGAACCTTCTTTATTCTAAACATAATTAGTACTGAAAAAGGTAAATTTCCAGAAGAAAATAAAATTAGAAAGTAGTTAAGGATAACACAATTCATCTCATTTGACTGTATCCAATGAGAAGTTTAGCATATATATATTTGGTGAGATGAGATTCAAAAAGTAATTAGATATCTTCTTAACAGAGAAAAGTTTAAAATAGAATTAGTAGAAGAAACAGCACTTGTAATAAGGTATATAATATGGACATTTCATGAAACTGAAGATTATGCTATAAATGTGCCAAATGCTAGCTTTTAACCTGTAGGCAAAGACTGACAATCAGAAGTTCCTAAGTATAAGACTAGAAAGCAATACAACTATGCTTTTCATAACACAAAACTGTTAATCTGAAAGATCTTAAAATAAAGGGAGCAAATCTCAAATACCCAACTGTCTGCTGAAAGAAATTCAAATTCCAAAGTTGTTTCATTAAGAGATTCCTTAACAGAACTCTTCTGCACTGTTGGTGGGAGTGCAAACTGGTCCAACCACTGTGGAAAGCTGTGTGGAGATTTCTGGACCTACTAAACATAGAGCTTCTATATGACCCAGCAATTCCACTCCTAGGTATTTACCCAAAGGACACAGAAACATCAATTCCAAAGAACACCTGCACCCCTATGTTTATAGCAGCACTGTTTACAACAGCTAAGCTTTGGAAACAACCCAAATGCCCAAAAATAGATGACTGGATCAAGAAGATGTGGTACATATATACCATGGAATATTACTCAGCATTCAAAAAAGATAAACACATGCAATTTGCTGCAACATGGATGGCGCTGGAAGGGATCATGCTCAGCGAAATAAGCCAAAAAGAAAAAGAAAAATACCGGATGGTCTCACTCATAGCAGGAATCTAGAAAACTTAAATAATGGACCAGGAAAATGAAAAACTATAAGAAAGTGAAAATCAAAATCAACAAAAAACTATGAACCAGAGACACTTTTAGGGGGCGGGGGCGGGAGGGGAGGGATTGGGGTCAGAATGGGGGGCGGCAATTGTATGGGGAATATAACAATAAAATTTATAAAAAAAAAAAAAAAAAAAAAAAATAAAGATGTCACAACCAAAAAAAAAAAAAAAAAAAAAAAAAAAGGTTTGTATTTATTAAAAAAAAAAAAAAAGAGATTCCTTAACAAAGGTAAAAGACTGAAGGAATTAAAACAAGTTTATATCTTTCCAAATTGCTAGTCAAACCTAAAGTCATTTTTCCTTTTATTCCTCTTCCCTCATTCTATTCTCCTCAATTTTCCATGGCCCCCATCTCTCCTTTTGAACTGTTTCCCTACGCCACAAGGTGGTTAGAATCTCAAAAATTCAACACTCTTAAAGTTAAACCTCCTTCAGAAGAGGAAAGACCACATAAGATCAATTTTAAGACTTGATCTCATTCTGAGCTACAAGCCACACTACATTCTTTCTGATGTCTAAATAATACTAGGAGGAATTTATGAGAAATTTAGAGCATTTTCAGGAATTGATAATCCAGGGCCCTGGATCTCCATAAATTAGTTCACACATTAGAAGGAAGTACAGGTACAAAAAAAATAAAAATAAAAAATGAAAAAAACAAAGTGTGAAGAACCGGAAGGAGGTAATCAAAGCGAGGGGAAAATCAAGTACCCAATTTCCGGTTTTATCCTTAGACTTAAAGATGAAAGTTAAGATTTTCCACTAAAGTCTAAGTTCGATGCCTGGTCAGGGATCTAACCCACATATAGTACAGCAGCTTCTCCTGTCTTACCTGCTGCTCCCCTTAGCAGTGTAGTTCAATAGATTTGCCTGTTCTGTTTCCCACTTTGTCTCCGGTGAATCCCTCTCATCACCGCACCTCTGGCCTACACCCCAGTTCTTCTATGCAAAAACAAAACAAACAAAAAAGGGAAAGGTTCTCTAACTACTAAAAGGCAACTTACAAATGTTTTACTGATATAGGCACTAAACTACTACTTAAATCCAAATACTGTTACACAATCTCCCCTTCAATGTCACCATACTACTCAGGTGTGGATATGGCCAATAACTAACTATAAGAAAGTTCCCAAAGCTAGCCCATATTGCCCAGAAACAAATATTCAAGCAAATTCTTTCCTTCTCTGTGATACTAAATAAGCTACCTTAAAAAGTAATAATTTACTATACAGACAAAATGCCAGAAAAATATTGTCTCACAGCCTCTTCCTTGAAATCCTAAAGATTCCCCTTTTCATAATTTAGTCATAGCAAATTCGTATACAAATTAAGCCCAAGTTGAAGATCTCAAGGAGGTGCCAGTCTTCTTGTTGACAAAAATTCCACTAATATTGGCAGAATTTGTGACACTGAGCCCCTTAAGGTTCAGAATGACCATGTAAGATTCTACCCAAATTTACACAGTTGTCTCAAAAACAAGAAGCTAAAGAAAGCTAACACCAATAGCCCAAAGTATGCTGGGGGTGTGGAGAGAGGGTGAAATGGATGAAGAGGATTAAAAAGTACAAACTTGTAGTATAAAATAAGTCATACAAGTCATGGTGTCCATAGTTAACAATACTGTATTGCATATTTGAAAGCTGCTAAGAGAGTAGATCTTAAAAATGTTCATCACAAGAAAACACAAGAAGATGTAGTACATATTCACAATGGAATACTCCTCGGTTATCAAAGAATATAAAATTATGCCATTTGCGACAATATGGATGGAGCTGGAAAGGATTATTCTATGTGAAGTGAGTCAGAAGCAGAAAAATAAATATTAAATGGCTTCACATATATATGGAATCTAGAGGAACCAAACAGAGGATCAGACAAAGACAAACTAAGACTGACCCCTGAAAGCAGACCTAGATTTGAGATACTCAGGAGGGAAGGGGTACGGGGAGAGTAAGAACCGATTGAAGGAGAGCACAGTAGAAGGTGGTGGAGACTGTGGGTACTTTGGAGGTGGAAAAACTGTGGTGACTGCACCTAAGGGAAGAAATCCTATAATGTAAAAAATTAAAAGATGTTTTTAAGGGCCTCCCCGGTGGCGCAGTGGTTGAGCGCTGGGATGCAAAGCTGCCCGCAGCCTCTGCAGCGCCGGTTCGATTCCCGGCTGCTCCCCGGCCACCAGAGGAGGGTCCCACATGGTGCGCAGACCTCTCCTGCCGCCCGCTGCTCCCCTCAGCAGTGTACTTCGGTCCTTCTGCCTGCTCTGCTCCCTGCTCTGGCTCTGGTGAATTCTCTCACCCTCCCGCGCTTCTGACTGTACCCAGTGCATGTATAAACGAAACAAACGAACAAACAAACAAATAAATAAATAAAACATGCCTCTATAAAAATAAAAAAAAATTAAAAAAAAAAAGATGTTTTTAAAAAAAAAAAATCTGTAACAATCATGGTGATGGATGGTAACTAGATTTTTTGTGATAATCATTTTGCAACATATACAAATATTGAATCATTATGCTATACAGCTGAAGCTAGTATGTTATATGTCAATCAAAGCCTAATAAAAAATCATTAATAAAATATATACCAAAAAAAAAGATTATTAGCAAGCTACTTAAACTTTATACTAGTCCTTGTAACATTCTTCCCTCCCACTCAAAAATCCACGAATTTGTACAGTAACTCAGGACCTAAGAGCAATTAAAAAGATTGTCATTCCCCACTGCACAATAGTACACATCTAAATGTTTTATTGTTGGTGCCTCTAAATAATTTAGATCCATGCTCTGATTCTTTCAGTGTTCCATTACATTTGCTCAAAATAGCCAATACTTGTTTGTCCTCTAGGAAAATATATATTTGAGATGTTATACTTCAAGAGTTCCCTTACACATTTCACAAATCCACAATCAAGACTTAAAAAGCAATTTTCTTAAAGAAAAATACCAGATGGTCTCACTCATAGCAGGAATCTAGAAAACTTAAATAAGGGACCAGGAAAATGAATAACTATAAGAAAGTGAAAATCAAAATCCACAAAAAACTATGAACCAGAGACACTCTATGGGGGCTAGAGGGCGGGAGGGGAGGGATTGGGGTCAAAATAAGGGGGTTGCAATTGTATGGGGAATATAAAAATAAAATTTATTATTAAAAAAAAAGAATAAAGGAATCTTAATCCTTAAAAAAAAAAAAGCAATTTTCTTATGATTCTACTTTCATTTAATATGTGGGTAACTTTTTTGTTGAGTTTTAGAGATGAGACAGGCTCTGAGACCACGTCCATCTATTTCCTGTTTTAGCTCAGAAAGGGTATAAGATGTCCAAGAAGTTATCATAATTCTATTAAAGTAAAATGCATTATCTGGGATGTGATTTATTCGAAAAAGGTAAGTTCCTCATTCTTCATTATCAGCCTTTAAACCTTCACATTAAATCTCCTGGATCATCTAGTCCTGTTGTTTTTCCCTTAAATAGGTTATGTTTTTTTCTGTTTTACCATCTTCTCCCACTCAATCTTCCATGTCACTTGTAGCGACGGGAAGTTTGTTGCTGCTTTGCAGCAGGAACGTGATGTGGGACACAACAGTCGTGGAGCAGGTTTGCAAGGCAAGACTCTGCTACTTGAGCAGAAGTTCTTGTGTCATTTATTGAAAGCACACAGGCTAGTAAAAGATGATCATTCGACAATGATATGAGGAATAAGGTCAGGAGGGTTGGACAGGAATGGGGGATAAAGTTTTACAAGGGACAGGGAAGGGGATATTGTGACCATACATCAAGAACCATTTGCATCAGCAAAATATTTGATGTTATCACAGAAAGAGTTATCCCAAGACCACCATGGACACAGTCATGTAATCAGGTCAACAGCGGCCTAGGCATCCCCACGCCTGCTTTGTGATACAGGCTATACTCTGCTGTGATTTGTAGACAGCAAATAGGTCACAGTTGCCCACGAGTGGCCAGCTAGTAGCCAGCTCATAGGAACCCACAGTGACTGATTCAAATTTCCACAAAAGATCTGCTTTCTGTCATCTACTAAACTGTCTGTTAGAAAATCTCCTATTACTGCCCCAGAAAGTACTGTGTTACAACTGAATGTCCCTAGGTGCTCTTACTATTACCTCATTGGACCACTCTAATCCTGCTTGTTATTTTCCCTTTTTCCTCCTGGCCATTGGCTGTGATTTTTCTCTCAGTTGACAGGAACTCATCTCTGGTTGCTGGAGTCTCCTAAGTGCAGCTGGATAAGGAGGTACATTAGTTTCTACCCTGTGGTAGACACTTTTTGCAATTCTTTACTCTCTTAATAGTATTATAGAGCCTATGTAATCTGCCCCATCACTTCTCCTTGTGAACAGAGTATACTTCCCAATCCTGCCGGTGTTAGTCTTGGTCACATGACTTTCTTGAGCCAACAGACTGTAGGTAGAAATAAGTGTGCTGGTTCTAAGTTAACACTCTGAGACATATGCATCTTTCTGCTCAGCCTGTTGTCCTTATGCCATGTGCCATGAGAGCAACCTGCTCCAAGTAGTGTTGGTCTCAAAATAAAGAAACAAGAAGACCAGAGCTCAGTCCCACACACTGAGCTGCCCCGGGCAATCCAGACCCATGAAGGAGAAAAAATCATGTTTATTTGATAGCCACTGAAATTTTGAGATGGATTTTTATAGTGTTCTGACAGCAAACACACAAAAAGGTCTGACCAATATAATAAATGTAAGCAGGCAGGTTCTTAGTACCTCAGTGAAGCACAAGAATAAATATCTACCCTCTTTGAAATGTCCTTGCATTTTTCATCATATATAAAAAAGCACTTCACCATCCTTTTTAGTTCATCCCTGGTCCATGGGAGGACTCAGAGGTCAGGCAAATATTGACTGACCAGGAATCCACAGGTCTATGGAGTTATTACTTTTACCAGAAAGAATACCGTATTTCAACCCTTGCCTCAGGAGGGCCTCTGGTTCCTGATCAGTCCTTACATTAGGAAATCCTACAAATACCATATTAGTGGAGGAAAGAGTGTCCAGCCTCTCTTGCGTATGGATTGTCTAAAGTACTGCCCCAGCAGTTAAAAGGTTGTATAAACTGAAATTGGGAGTAAAAAGGCTAGAATGATATTTATCAACTAAATGATTTTTATTGCTACATCAAAAGTCAAGTGATATTTCTGTTTCTCTAAACATATTCCTTCTATAATAAAAATGAGGGAAACGGGGATAGGATATATACACAATGGGGGAAGGGAATAAGGAGGAGGCAAGAGAGGTAAGGAGAAGAGACAAATTCCAGCTACCAGGTAATTCATGACATAGCCAAGAAAGCCACCAAATCATACACAATTATATCTAAGTCCTATAAGTCAGGTTTTAAACTCCAATAAGTTTGTAAAATGCATCTATTTTAATATCACTTAAGATTGATTCTCATTTTGAGAAGGATTGCTCCACTGAGATCAGAAAATCTGTAAATAATAAATATCAATTGACCATCATCAAGAAGCCCATCTATATGGCTCTGAAGTTTTAATATTGTCCCCACTTACCATTTTCAAGAGGTGTATCCTCAGGCAGATCCACATCAAGCATAAGATCATCATCTTCAAGGTCACATGATTCAAGATTATTCAGAATATCCTATTAACAAAAGCAGTGGAAAATGTTATAACCTAGGTCAAAGAATGTATGTAATCATAAACTCTGAAAATATCACCAAGATAATCAGCAACTTTCAAATATGCAATAAGTTTTATATAGAGTAAATCTCTGTGACTCTTTTCTCTAAGTTTAAACATGTTTGAATTGTTTCCATAAAGTTATGTAATTGCCTTATTTAAAAATTTAACCAAAAAGGCAAAAAAATAAACTCTAGGAAATCTTTCAAAGATACAGAATGTAAAAAAAAGAACAAAAGTGAAAAAAAATGAACAGAAATAGAAAAGAATCTCACATGAAATATAACACACAATTATTTGAAATTCCAGAAAAACAGCACAGAAACAATGGAGGGAGATGCAATAAATAAAAAAGACAAAAATTCCAGAGTTAAAAAAGACAACAGAGAAAACTCTTCATTTAATTTGGGTTTTAAAATGCTATGGTCTTTTTTCCAGTTCTCTTCCTGGAAAAAAAGATCGAGCTTCTAGTCTAACCCTAAGGAAATCTCTAATGGCCAGATATGATGAGACCGACCAGGTTTAAATAAGCTATGAAAAAAGCATCACCACAAAACAAGCATTATACAGAAAAAAATTCTTTAATATAGAGCTGGTTCCCAGACCAAGAGAACAGAACAACAGGGCTCTGTTGATGTGTCTATGCAAATTCTTTACACAAAATAACCATGATACAAATATCTTTACTAGAAAAAGAAACTGTTGAGCATTGTATCATAAGTATTCAGCAGTAGCTCAATGCTGAATAAATTTCTCCTATACTTTCAAATGGTTATCTCCCCATTTCCTCCAATTTTTACAGAACTAACCCTACCTTAATAACCAAGAACACCTTTAAAAGTCTATAAAGTCTAAAAACTGAAAGTTCCATAGAAAAAAATGACAATTAACTGTTTCACTTTGAGATCTCCATGCTCAAATTATGATTTCTCACAAAACTTTAAGAAATCTAGTACAGTAAAAATAGAAATTTCAGAGACATGAAATAATTCTCTTAATAAAAGGAATAATTCCTGGAATTCATGCCTATGTTAGGTTACAACAAGGCAAAGGGGGAAATTAAGGTTGCAGATTGGAATTATGGTTGCCAGTCATCAGACCTAAATTAAAATAGGGATATTATCCTGAATTATAGATGGGTCCATAACTGATCCACATGTGGACGGGTCTAATGTAATCAGTTCTTAGAGGAAAAGAGAAGTTGAAAATGAGAGTCAAAGGAAGAATGATCAGAGATGCAGGGTTATGGCTCTAAATGTGGAAGAGGCGGTGGCTTTAACGTTCAAGGGTAGCTGCTTACAAACTGAAAATGGCTTCTGCCCTAAAGCCTCCAGAAAGGAATGCAGCCCTGCTGACACCTAACCCACCAAATCACTTGTTCTCTCTTTTCTGTGGTAGTTCCTAGTGGGATGAAGAATAAGTGTCAGTGTATGCAATCCTGTTGACCTCTGGTAGCTGCACATAAAACGCTATGGAACTTAACAATAAGCCCACATCAAGTTCTACTTCAGTTGACTTAAACCTTGTAAAACTTACCTTTATTTAAGGAGATTTAAGATAAATAATTCGAGCCACAATGATTATAATGGTAGATGGCAGATTTCAGTTAACATAAATGTTTGTTGACAGTTTAGCTAATCTACTCCATGTTATTGATTGCTGCCTCAGCAACCATTTTGTTTGGTCAAGCCACCTGCAAGGGCCTTAAACTGACACTAAACTTAACACAAGTGCAAGCCCTAGATAGTAAACAGCAGTTAAAAACCATTAAGGAGGTATTTATGCAGTAATACGAAATGATTTAATGAACCATGTACGTGGGGGAGAGAACAAAACTCAAAATGAAATATAAATGGTAACAAAAGAACCTAACAAAATTACAAGTAATAAAACCACAAGAAAGAGATGAGAATTTTAAAAATTAACCTTAGTAAACTTGGAGAATTGAAAAAACTAACCTAAGTAAACTTGGTTCTAAGTAATAGAACCACAAGAAAGAGATGAGAATTAAAAAAAAACTAACCTAAGTAAACTTGGAGAACAGTACTCTGAATATGTACTATAAGGCTAAAGTTAAAAAAAAGAATGATACCCATATATTATAAATTAGCAAATTTACTTTTCATGGATTATGGATTAGCAATTGTTAAATTGTGTGTGTGAGAGAGACACATATACACTAGGATTGAACAACTGAGTAAACATACTGTGATTAATGAGTCAAGTTTCTCACTTCCTGAGAAAAGTTAAAAATACGTAAAAGAGAAAGGCATGAATAAACTCTGTGGCATTAGATTGGAAGCAAAGGTATCAGTTTGAATTCTTGGTCTTAAAGTATTGACAAATGGAAACAGAAATAAACACAGATGTGTGTTTATACATACAATTCTGAGTTCTGTTTGTTATATATTAAGTCCTGAAAACAATTATATTCCACTAGCAACAAGATGTAGCCCTCAGAGCTTGAGATCTAAATATCATTTTTGAACAAAATTCTTCCTTGAAGAAACACTGATTCCAAGGCTAGGCAAGGAAAATGCATATGAATGTAGAATATCTTGAAGAAAATAAGGAACTACTCAAAAAATAGTGGGAGCAAGACAGAAAGGAACAAGAATCAACCTGAAGGGACTCCCAATGAGCAAATGTGGAACACTTGTAACAACATAAATAATGGATTACATATGCAAAATAAAATAAATATCCACACACCAATAATGAGACAATCCTTCTAAATAAACAAATAAAAATGAACAGCTTTCTTATAATTGCAAATAATAAAATAATATGACAAAACTAATGTGCAAAACTGTAATAGGATATTTGCATATTCAAAGTATCTGCCCACAAGACATTTATTAATTATAAAGGGAAACAGAGTAATTTAACTGTTTCTATTTAACTCTCTCTCTTACCCACAGTTAAACCTCCTGTATTGTTGATATCACATGCATACTCACCATAGCATGCATGATATCATTTATCATGCTACACTATACAAGGTAATATAACCACCTAAAATAGTAGATTTTGAATTCATAAGGACAAAAACAACTTTATTCATATCAGTATATTCAGCAGGTCACAGTACACTTGAGGCATAGTAGAAGTCCTTGAACTTCATGTTGTAAATGACTAACCTATAAGAAACAATATAGAGTGAAGAAAAATACATTTAAAGGGTCATAGCAACTGTATGTGTTTCATTTAAACCTTTTTCCAAACATAAAAGTTCTATTAACAGGTCAAAAAGAAGCTATGCTAACAATTAAATGTATGTGGAGATTCAGAGTTTGACCAAAAAAAAAAAAAAAAGATAAATTTAGTTTTCATTTCATTCTGTTCCCTTATCTATAAAATAAATCTGATCCCTTCCATGCCTTCAAGTTTTATATTATATATCAGAGCAAAGCTGAAAGTGTCAATATCAGTTCGAGATGTTCATTTACCTATATCAAGACCGTCTCAACTTTCTGTAAGCTGCCCTCCACTACCATGTCTATGCCACTGTCACATATTTAGTTACCTGCACCTTGCTATTATGACATGCGGTACCTTAGAAACTTACTTTGTAAATAAGTCACAATGTATATGGAAAAACAGTGAACAGTACTAAGCAGTACCTTTAAGTTTAAGTGCTTTTACTTATTTTTAATTAAATAGCATGTTATCATGACAAGCATTTCAACAAATGTATATCAAGCCAAGTGCCAGAAACCTAGGAGCAATGAGAGATTTAATTGTTAACTCTATTCAAACAAGTTGCAGCAACTGGAAGCTAAAGGTTGCTAAAGAGATGGGTGTACCCCATGAAGAATCAGTCAAAGGAGTTTAGATTTGATGATAAATGGTAAAACCAAGGAAAATAACAAGTCAAACTAATAATTTAGGAAGATTTGGCAGAATGAATGGAAGCAACAGAATGGAAGCACTAGTTGTCGGGGAATATTTAATAAAGTTAAAATTTAGTTTCTGTATTTTGCTCAGCCGAACATTGCTGGAAGACATAAAGTAGACAAGAGAGGGGAACCAATAAAATCACCAGGGGAAACAGACTATGGGTCCACATGACCAAGACCTATCACAATTTCAAGGAATGTGGAAACAGGGCAAAAAGAACCAAGACAGCACCTTAGGGGAAGACTGATTAACACCTGATATCCTAGTGGATAACCAGCAGCTGAGACCGAGTCCCCAAATCATGAAAAAGTCCTCAAAAATAAGATATAAAAAGAAGCCCCAAATCCTTCTTAGAGGTAAATGACCTGTCTTGCCCGCTGCTCTTCTCAACAGTGTACTAGATAAAAATGTCTCTTCTGCACTCTGTCTCTGATGAATTCAACCCCGTGCCTATGGTCTCACCCCAATATTATACCACCACACTAGTCACAACTTCCAAAAGTGAAGAGGTGACACTTCTTCCCCTGCTATCAACAAATTACTGAATTTCATCAACTATGTCTTCTTAAAATCATTTTCAAAACTCATCAGCATTCTAAAACTCCACTGTGCTGTCATCTTAGGCCAAGTCATCACCATTATCCCCTCACTAAAAACGACAGCTTCCAGCACTGTCTTGTTCCCCTCTAACTCAATCATTCTATATAACATTTAAAAATGTAATTCAAATTATGTCCCTTCCCAGCTTCAAATCTTCCAATAACCAACACCCCCCCACACTGCCCCCCTCCAAGCTTCAATGTTTAGGATAAAGATCCAAATCCTCTGAGTCCCAAGAAAGCTCAGTACTGACAGCCTCCTCTCCTGCCATACCTCCCCTCTTTGAGTGTCCAGAGTTGCTCAAACACTTCAAGATCCCTTCCTGCCTCAAGGCAATAATTATCCAGTAGTTGGCATTCTATTAGAAACCTGGGATTGTAATGAAGGAGTTAGGGAAAATGAGTAAAAAAACAAGCCAGTTGTTAGGAAGGGCTACTGCCCTGGCAGGCTCCCACAGATATGCTAAATCCCCACAGTTTTCCCCAAATGGGGATGAATAACTGAAATAAATGAAACTGAAACTGAGCTAATAGCTATTATTCCCTTTCCTGGAAGGAAAAGATGTTTTAACTAACATTACTAGAAAGCAATAAAATTTTCATTTCAATAATACCTAGTCTAGTAAAAGTGCTAATAAGCAAGGGGAATACCACAAATTGGTAGAAATAGGAAGAAAATGAACTGAATAATCAAGAAGCTATCAAAATAAAATAAAACTAATAATGCCTACTCATTAAGACATTATTAAGAGATTTAAAAAGCAGCCCATACATATAAATCAAATACACACACGCATGCATGTACGCATACATATATAATTATATGAAAGATTTATACACAAGATATGCAATTTTTATAAACAAATAAGAAAAATACATACTGCTCAATAAAAGACACAGAAAAAAAGAGGATAGCCTAATGGCAAAGAAATACATGTATTTATGTATATTTATAACAAGTACTCAACACAAAACACAAGACAAAAATCTCAGCACAATACTATTTTATCCTGACCAGATGAGTAAAAATTGAAAAAGATGACAAGCGTTGACTAGAAAGTGGAATTCTTGGAATGCTCATTTACTGCCAATGGGCATTGACAGTGGTATAACTACTTTGGAAAACAAGTATATATGCCCTACCCTATCATCCATGGCATCTTCTCCTATAGTTTTTCTGAGAAATGCATAAATGCTCACCAAAAAAAAAACATGTCACAAAATCTTTACAGCAGTAGCAGTAAGGTAAAGTGTAAAAAACTAAAAGCCCAAAGGCAGGATGAAACAAGTTGTAGTACATTCACATAAAGGAATGTCACATAACAAGAATAATGAAAAAACCACAAGTAACAAACATAACAGACTAAAAAAAGTCAGACATAAAGGAGTACCTATTGGTAACTCTCATATGCAGTTCAAGAATAAAAACCAATCTATAGTAACAGAAATCAGAATAATGGCTGCACTGGAGCGGGGGGGGGGGGGGGGCAGCAGTTGAGAGAATAACTGAATAGCACAGGAAACATTTGGGAGTGATAAAATATTCTGTATCATATTAATGTGCATAGTTGTTAGTTATTTTCAAAATTCCCTGTGCTGTACACATAACAGTTGTATATTTTATTGTATAGCCGTTAACCCTCAGTAAAACATTATATTTAAACAAAAAAATTATCAATAGCCTAGATTCTAGACAAATGTTATAAATGCAAAGCAGTTCATCTACAAACTATTAGGGTGCAAGTCAAAGAGGTTGACTAGAACTTACATCAAGCCTCTGCTTTCCTCAAAGAAAAATGCTTGGGATGAAAACAAGGTTAGCTGAACTACAGTGGGCTGAATTAAACTATCTGTAGTGACATGGTTTTGACTTACATTCTAGCAAAGGCACCTAATCTTGAGCTGAACTGGAGTAAGCACTAAAGCTCAGAACCAAGTGGGGGCAAGGAAAGGACATGGGGCCAGGAAAGGCCTTTGGTGATAAATAAAAAAGAAAAATGGATAAATCAAGAATATGGATTAAGTTAGGTATATCAAACTACTTTAGAAAAAAATTTAGAAAACAGAAAAAGCAACCCAATTTAAATGTCAAGTAAACCTAAATGCAAAGCGAAAGGAATTAAAGTGACCTATTAAAAGGGCAAATTTTATTTTTAAAAAATAATCTACTTGCTATTAATCAAAAAGGCTGACAGTAAAATAATGGAAAATAGATAAATAAAACTGGTAAAATATACTATTGTCTGAAAAAAGAGACCTTCAGAACAAAAGGTATAATGAGGGATAGAGGAGGTCACTAAAGAGTGACTCATGGGGCTGATGAGGCGGGAGGATAAATAAGGAAGGGAACACAGTGGATGATGGTAGTAGATTATGGATGCTTTGCTGGTGTGCTGGGGAAACAACACCTGAAGGGGGTATCCTATATTTGCAAAATGCAAATAATGATGTAAAACAATGTTACCTCAATTAAAAAAGTAAATAAAAAAATGAGGGCCACCCCGGTGGCGCAACGGTTGAGCGCTGGGCTGCGAAGCTGCCTGTAGTCTCTGCAGCACTGGTTCGATCCCCGGCCACCGGGCGAGAGTCCCACATGGCGCGCAGACCTCTCCTGCCGCCCGCTGCTCCCCTCAGCAGTGTATTTCGTCAGTCTGCCTGTTCTGTTCTCCACTCTGGCTCTGGTGAATTCTCTCACCCTCCCGCGCCTCTGACTGTACCCAATGCTTGTATAAATAAATAAATAAATCTTTTAAAAAAAAAAAAAAAAGCTGATCTTTCTAAAAAAAAAAAAAAATGAATAAAAGTCCAATTCATCAAGACTATTCTAAACAGACGTATACCTAACAAGTACTTAAGATATAAAAAGCAAAAATTTGACAATCTTCAAACAAAAAATGGTGAATATACTATCACAATAGATCTTCAAACACTTTTCAACTTGTTTCAGAGTATCTTCTTCTTAGAACAGTAAAACAGAGATACCATCTTGTTCCAAAGCACAGAATAGCATTTTTGTATACTCAAGCCTACTGATGTAAGAGGAAACTAATAGATCTTGCAGGTGTGTCCTGAACTATGTCAAAGGCTATTTTGTCTTTAAGTTACACACAAAGTGAAGAGAAGGTGGTAAATCTCTGAAGTCAGGTACTAAGTGGCTCATTGATGCCATCTGCTGGACAAAATATTCATTTCCATTTCATGTATGTTTTGAAAAGATAGAGGGGCCTCCCCAGTGCCACAGAAGGTTGAGCACAGCACTGTGAAGCTGTCCACAGCCTCTGCAGCGCCGGTTCGATTCCTGGCCGGCCAGGGAGAAACCCACATGGAGAGGCAGACCTCTCCTGTCTTGCCTGCTGCTCCCCTCAGCAGTGCTTTCAGTCTGCCCACTGCTCCCCTCAGCAGTGCTTTCAGTCCGTCTGCCTGTTCTGCTCCCCTCTGTCTCGGGTGAACCCTCTCACCCTCCTGCAACTCTGGCCTGTACCCCAGCTCTTGTATAAATAAAATACATCTTTAAAAATAAATAAATAATAAAAAGATATAAGGCCCTCAAATGTTACCTTTTCTGAACTCCTTTTATCTGAGAGAGATACTCTCTCTAAATTTAATGTGTTCAATGCTTGTGCAACTGAAAAAGTCTCTGATAGGGATGCATAGATTCACTACTTGAAATCCATTGTGAAATCTATTTGTAGTCTATAAAGGCTACAAATTTTCCCATACGACTACTGAAAATTAGTTTATATGCTGATTAAGATCCACTTTAAACCAACATACTTCACACGTGTTATCCACAATACTCCCACTTTTTCTTAAAATATGCATATAGAAATGCATGGTAGATCTTTCTGTGCTCACCCATACCTGTTTCCCTCACCTTCCAGATACACAGGAAAATTATACTTCTACCCACATAAGATTAATTTGGATCAACAGGTGTGGGGTAAAGTGCTATGTGCCATATGCAGCCCAAAGCAAATCAACTTCCTCTACCACAGTGACAAGAAGGTGCTGCAAAAGGAGATGGTGGCACTCCAAGATCAAAGCAGCTTAGAACACTAGTTACCCTAGCTTTTTCCAGATCTACAATAGGCTTTGTAAGAGAAAATATTAAACATTTATTGTATTAAGTAAGTCACTGAGAGCAGGCACTTGCTGCTACCTCAGCAGAGCATAGCACAGGGTTTCTAGCAGCATTACTGACATCTTGGGCTGGGCGATTCTTTATTGTGCATGCTGCCCTGTGCAGTGACTTTTAAACAACATCTCTAGCCATCTACCCACTAGTTGCCAACAGCCCTTCAACGTTAACAACAAAAAAATCTTCAGATATTACCCCCCTCCTCTACTTTTAAAGTGGCTAGCAGAGCTTAATTTAAACACAGTTGTGTGCATATATGTATATAGGTATATCATGAATATGTTGTGAAATTTTTTAATGTGTGTCATGTGACACAAATAATCATTACATATTAAGATCAGGTATTTTGTTATACTACAATCAGGCCCTTATAGACATGAATTTCCACATCTCAAAATAGGAATTCATAAATTTTTTAAAAATCCAATCAATATCAAAATACAGTAAGGTAAACAAAATGTTCCAAAAGGGTATATAAAGCCATACATACTATGCTGTTCATTTCAGAGGACTCATAGCTCCCCACAGGGTGGACGTTTCCAATGGGCTCTAAGCCCTCTTCATCCCACATGTATGTTCCATCAGAGCTATCAGATGGAGAGAGCTCAAATGAAGAGCCAGCTCTATAATCTGTGTCTGGCGAAATCAAGTTATTCCCAGAAGCACGCTTTGTACATTCACTCCCGTCTTCGATTGACAGTTTAAAAAGAGAGAAGAAAGTAGTTATTAATTCACAAAAATATTATTTTCATGTTCAAAAAATACAAGCTCTGATGATTTTATATAACCATAAATTTGGGCAAAAAAGGCATTAAAAACTGTAGCATTTTCTAAATTCTAAACAATAAAGAAGCTTAAAAATAACCTACTGCCCAACAGACATAATGAAAATACATTAAGCCAGCTGTCATTTCTGCCACGTTTCTAAAAAGGTAAATAAAGCTTCATAATCTTTTATATAAAATTTAATGTATTTACTTTTAACCACCAGCCAGGGAATACCTTCCTCTGTATTATTTAACCTCACAGTTGCATCCTTACTAGGAAAAAACTCTTTGAGGCAGTCATTCCTAATTAGAAAACCCTCACGCAATCAAGGGCTTCTGCACATCTCTAAGGATCTTGGTCCAGCCCCTTGATCAGACCACAAGCTTACCCTTCAGTTTATTCTTTTTTCCAAGCTATACAGGTACATAGATGTAATTTAACCCAGCATTTTGTGCCAGGATAACCAACTAAAATGTTTGACAGGTGCTGTCTTACTTTCCGCAATTAAAAAAATAAATAATAAAGCTTCTCTAAAAGTATAATTATTAAGTTTGCTAATGAATAAATCAAAATCTGCCTTTTAAAAAATGGAAATTTCCTAGGGTAAAAAAAATTCATTATGATGGTCAAAATCTAATTTAGCTCATTTATCCTTTGGTAAAGGTCTATTAGCAATTAGATGTGCAGAAGTCCTTGATTGCGTCAAGGTCTTCTAATTAGCAATAATCTACTACCCTAAGGGAAGACTTGTTTTAAAATGGAATGCCACTGATTGGGGGAACGGAGTAAACAAATTTGATCCAAGGCCTCCCTGGTGGCGCAGGCAGTTGAGTGCAGTGTTGTGAAGCAATCTGCAACTTCTGTGGTGTGGGTTCAATCTGGGCCTGCAAGCAAGAAACCCATATGGCGCAGTAGACCTCTCCTGTCTGGCCCACTGCTCCCCTCAGCAGTGTATTTCAGTCAGTCTGCCTGTTCTGCTCTCCACTCTGTCTCTGGTGAATCCTCTCACCCTCCCGCACACCTGGCCTGTACCCCCATTCTTGTACAAACAAATAAATCTTTAAAAAAATTTTTTAAAAAATTTGATCCAAGTAGGATCAGGCACATGTATGACAGGCTAAGAAAAAAGGTAAGATACCTTAGAATTAAGAGTGTTTTTGTTGATGTTTTATAAGAGAGTGAAAAATAAGGCAGGGAACAAAAATCATTAGAAAGATAAATGTTGTATCACTCCCAACAGAGCCACCTCTTCCGAGAAACTGATAGTGTCTTGGAATTTATCCGAAGATGATCATAAATTTAGGTTCAGTTACATTATGTAAGAGAAAGTAAACATACAATAAGGATATTCATATTTACCAGAGACACTTATATCTATCCACTCATCGGTTTTACTTAAGGATTTTTCATTTTCCTTGGGGGAATCAAATATATCCTTTGGTGGTATATTTTCATGCTTTTCTTCTTTGAGAGAAATTTCCTCTGGAGTTATTCTAGTTCTGTTGGAGTCTTCTATATCTATAAAATCATCACTGAAGTCTTCACTTAAATCATTCTTATCAGAAGATGACAAAGAAGACAAGGAAATATCATCCACATCATCACTCAGGTATTTAATTTTAGCATCATGCTTCATGGTCTGGTCATTTACTGTTCTATAACTATCATTTTCATTTGGTTCTTGGTCCTTATCAGTAGCATTGTCCTTAGCCAAAAGTGCAGCATCTTCCTCTACACAGGTGTCAGCAGGTGAATTTTTGTTACCATCAACAGTAATTGTCCCAGAAAATGGAGATCGATTAGATTTCAGTAGAGAGGAATGAACCATCCTATAACCCAAAGATGAAGGTACAGCAGGACCATTTGATAAAGCCAACTTCTTTCCACCAGCAGCATAAGGCCTACTAAATCCATAGGTTAAATGCTCATTCCCATTGAGTACTTCTGATTGCCGGGAATTCCTTGTTAGCATACTTGACCTTAGAGGCACTCTAATAGGTAGCTGCTGGTTCTGATAAGGCTTTGTAAGATCTACAGCTCTGTTGAAGGAATGTGATCTAGTTATAGATGAAGGTGGGAGGAATGAATTCTGAATGGAATGTGAAAAACTTTGTGACCTTACCATTTTTTCACAAGTAATAGATTTCATATTGTCTAGGGATTGTGCTAAGCTTTCTCCAGAACTGCTTCTAGTGACAAAGGAGTTTGCTCGAGGTCTCTGTATGCTGCCAGCTGACCGGTTTCCATAAAATCCATTCAATTGTGATTTTGGAGCACTGACTGAAGAATATGAAGTCCTTCCTAATAAGTTGCCTTTGGTGAATTTGCCCAAATTAGCTGATCCAGATAAAGACTTTTGGTTTAACTCCTCTGCAGATGACATGAACATAGTGGATGGCTTTACTAGTTTTGATGTGAGTAAAGAAACATTTTTCAAACCTCCCTTTATCCCATTTTTATCAAACATTCCTTGAGTAGGTGCATGTTTTTCAGGATCAATTACTTTATTATGTGAACTCTGAGGACTGCTGAGCGCTTCAGCATTTTGTGCACTAAGTTGGTATTTATTGGCAGTTCTCCAATTAAATGAATGGGAGGGTGGACAATCAGAGCCATTATTTTTGATGTAACTTCTGATGTTGCTACTCTTGGAAGTTCCCAATAAATTAACAGGTGTCCCATTTGGCATTGGCTGCAGTGTACTTCTTACAGATTTTGTTCCATATTTTGGCAACTTGGAACCCAAAAATGTCTTGATTTGTGTTTTTTCTTCCATTAGATAGGTACATTTGTTCTTAAAATTTGACAGAATCTGGAGAGAGAAAAAAAGTAGATTTAAACATTTGCAAATAAGGGTAATTACATATATTACCACATAGTATGATGAGATGCAATGAAGTTGAAAAGTTACTCATGATTCCTTCAGAATTCAATAAATATTAAATGCACTAATTAGCATAACTTTATGATAGAAAAAATAAAGAATATTTATATAAACACTTCTATAAACTTAAGACTATGGGTGACAACAAAATCCAAGAATTAAAAAAAAAATAAAAACTTCTAAAGCACACCTTCCAATTTCCATTCCAAATTATTTCTTTCATTTTTTGAATTATCTCCTTTAAAAGTAAGGACAGGGCCTCCCCGGTGGCGCAGCGGTTGAGCACTGGGTTGCAAAGCTGCCGGCAGCCTCTGCAGCGCCGGTTCAATCTCTGGCCACCGGCAAGGGTCCCACATGGCGCGCAGACCTCTCCTGTCACCCGCTGCTCCCCTCAGCAGTGTATTTCATCAGTCTGTCTGTTCTGCTCTCCCTGCTGTCTTTGGTGAATTCTCTCACCCTCCCGCGCTTCTGACTGTACCCAGTGCTTGAATAAATAAATAAATAAATAAATCTTTAAAAAAAAAAGTAAGGACATTTAATTTGGGGGGGTTTTTTCACATATGATTTTATAAAAACTGAAAAACTTTCATTATTAAATTAATGGCAAAGATTTAGGTAAAAAATACAATACCAAATATTCTAGCATCAAGGGTTGAGATATAAGTTGTCATTTTAGGCAACTACTGCAAAAGAATTTCCATCATCTGAATATAGGTAAGTTAGAGCCAGATAAGAATTTACAAAAAATAATTTTATAAAGTTGATTAGTCCATTAATCTCAATCTCTCCAATTTATTTTAAATGCAATACAAAACAAACACAAAAAGTTTAATGCATATACAAGAGCACAAAACTAGAAACAACTAGAGTCTTCTATTTGTGCAGTTAATAGGTTAGGACCTATCATGTGATGAGAACACACAGATGAGCTATAAATATTAAAATGTTTGTCCCAGGCCTCCGTAGTGGCCTAGGGATTAAGTCTCAATGCTATCACCTCAACAGATTGAGTTTGATCCCCTGACAAGGAGCTAACCCACATTTGGTGTAGCAGACCTCTCCTGTCTTGCCCACTGTTCCCCGTCGCAGTATATTTCAGTAAATCTGCCTGTTCTGCTCCCCACTGTCTCTGGTGAATCCTCTCACCAGCCCCCAACACCTCTGGCCTTCTACGCAAAAATTAAATAAATAAATAATGTTTATCCTAACATTAATAGAAATACAGTATGGTCACTATATGCTTACTGCAATTAAGTAAAAATTCTGCGAAAGCACACACAAAAGCAAATGCAATAAAAAGAAAAGTATATGTCTTAGAATCACTAGTTTTTTTAAAGTATGTACTTACGATGTTCTCTTTAATGGTTTTGTATTTTTAATGAAAAATAAATTGGTTCTAAATCATCCCTATCATTAAGAGTTAGTTTCTAGAGTACATATGTCTAAGTGTAAATATTGTAAAAAGTAAATATTTCGAAAATCATATACACTTAAGATGAAAGGGTAAAGCTGAATTCCCAATACTAATTAAAAGGACAGTATATACCTATGTGTGTGAATGTGAGTCTTTTTTTTTAGCCTAAATACCCACTAGCTTCAGTCAAATAAGAAACTTTATATTAAGAACATCTAAGCTTTTTAAGATGTAGTAGCCAGAAAAAGATTTTATATAATGTGGTGGTCTGTAGGATACTGGTTTGATTGTAATGCCTGGAAGAAGTAATGATAAAAATAATAAAGTTAATAAAACTTGAAAATTTTATGCCCAAAAATAGATAACTGGATCAAGAAGATATGGTACATATACACCATGGAATATTACTCAGCATTCAAAAAAGATAAACACATGCAATTTGCAGCAACATGGATGGAGCTGGAAGGGATCATGCTCAGCAAAATAAGCCAGAAAGAAAAAGAAAAATACCATATGGACTCACTCATAGCAGGAATCTAGAAAACCTAAATAAGGGACCAGGAAAAAGAGTAACTGTAAGAAAGAAAAAAATCAAAATCAACAAACAACTATGAACCAGAGACACACTAGGGGGGGTGGGAGGCGGGGAAAGGAGGGATTGGGGTCAAAATAAGGGGGTTGCAATTGTATGGGGACTATAAAAATAAAATTAAAAAAAAAAACTTGAAAATTTTAATAAATATCCTTCAGTTTAGACAGAAAAGATCCTACTTGGCATGTCACAGAAAAGCCCTAGAAAACATCTTTATCAGAGAAACTCTGAAACTTCAGCTGGGGCAGAGTGACCACAATAACCTGTTGAATTCCAAGGCAATATTCTGAGCTGAGGAAAGGGTCTGAAGCCCCTGTACCACACCTCAGCAAGTCAAAGGAAGCTGGTATAGGATACTTAACAAAATACGTAAACAGATAGAAGAGTGTAGAGTCTCAAGAGCTCTTCTCCAATACCAACCTATACCTTTCATCTCCAGCAACAGACACACAGAAAGAGAACAACACACACTATTTAAAAGGTATATGATGGGGCCTCCCCTCATGGTGCAGGCGGTTGAGCCCCGTGCTGTGAAGCTCTCCACAGCTTCTGCAGCGCCGGTTCCATCCTGGCCAACCGGCGAGGGTCCCACATGGAGCAGCAGACCTCTCCTGTCTTGCCCGCTGCTCCCCTCTGCAATGCTTTTGGTCTGTCTTCCTGTTCCGCACCCCGCTCTGTGTCTGGTGAATCCTCTCACCCTCCCGCGCCTCTGTCCTGTACCCCAGCTCTTGTATAAATAAAATAAATCTTAAAAAAAAAAGAATGTACATCTAATAAAAGAGGCTTAAAGTTAAAAAGACAAAAGAGGTAAACTAAAAAGCTACAGAGCTAAAGAAATAAACTAAAAACAGCAATGCTACCTCATTATGTTGTACATTTAGAACTAATATAATGGTATACATCAATTACACCTTCATAAAAATAAGATCATTTCAACATTCCTTTTCCATAAAAGTACCTGTTATTTGCATTCTCCTGTGGATCAGCTACTTCTCTGACTCCCTATTAATAATGAGATTAATAAGATCTTTAACATGTGTTCATTTTATAACTGAATGAGTAGTCATTTTATTCCTTTCTAAAATTTATCATTTAACAGCTTTGGTGATTCTACCAAGAAACCCAATGCATCCTCCTAAGGGAGATGGGTAATTCCTTTGCCAGACTGGTATATCACATAAGCAGCTCAAGCCAAAGACATGTCTTTTCCTGATTCCCAGAAGTGAAACTGTAACAAGGTGGTCCCCAGGAAAGGGGAAGGTTCCAGGTTTCCTGCCCCACCCAAAGGAGGGTGGAGCTGAGCAGGGAGAGAAGAAGCTGCAGAGGAGACTGAGGAAGGAAGGAAGCAGGATGAAGAGCCAGAAGGAACCCTGGAGGAGGCACATGGAGCAGAGAGACACGTGAAGAAACTACATCTGCCTTTTGGTTGTGGACTGGATGACACAGATGTAGGTGAGAGACCCGTGGGGAGGTGACAACGACGGTTTTTGTCTTGATTTTGCTCTTTTCCTTCCAGACTTTTCTGGTTGCGTCTTATCCTTTTCTGTGGGTCCCCAATGGAAGATGCTTTAGACTTGGGGCAGGCTTTGGGGCCTTGTTCTGGGTCAATCCTGCTTGGGTGGACTTTTACCCACGACGGGACGGGTAACTTTGGGTGCTTGATTTGGAAACTACATTCCTTGCCTTTCCTGTATTGTTTCCTAATTGTATTAAAGTTACTTCCCATTAAAGTCTCATATGTTTTGTGTTAATGCGGCAGATGGCAGAACCTATTTAGGGCAGGCAGGTTTGCGGGGTCTGGGCTGCCCCTCTCCCTGCCTGTAACAAAATGTGAACAGTGACAGTACTTTACTAACTCTGTCTTCCTATAATAATCTTCCTCTTCTAATTTTTTTTTTGTTTGTTTTTTAGCTTATCTATGGCCAATAAGTTATTCCCCAATGGTGATAAAACTACTGAAAATCTGTTTTACAGGCTGTCATTTACTGATCTCTGTAAACAAATTAAAGGTTTATACAGATTTGTTCTCTGGTGTATGAGAGAAAAAGGAGATTCTAATTCCTCGGTCACTTAAACTCATTTATCTCTTTTGTTTGTCTATTAAGCACAAATCAATTAAGAAATCCATGCCCACCAAGAAAGAGACTGGCTCTTGGGTCAGGTCAGGTCAGGTTTTGTGTTTCTTTGTTAACTTTGTTTACCTGGCTACAATTGTAGAATTGGAAACCATAACTTCTCATTCTTTGTCGAATTAGGCCATCCTTGTTTTATAAATGGGGTCTTTACAAGAGGGGCTTGGAGAGAGGTTTCTCCAAACAACTCAAAGTAGACCCATTCCAAACCTCTGCTTTGCATTTTTTTTAAAGGAGAAAAAATCCTGCATCCTGTGATGCAAATTTTCTGTACTGGTTTAGGGCCAAAGAGGCATTCTTTTAAATGCAAATTTAAGGATTAGTTTCTTATCTGAAGAAGTAAAAAAAAAAAGGACTCCTTACAAATTGAATCAATGAAAATTCTTCTATCTTCACAAATATTGACAAGGGGCTATGGTGATGGTTCAATGGTGCTGTGGTGGTGGGAGAATTATGGGGACTACGCCTGAGGGGAGAAATCAAATACTGTACAAAAATGAACACTGATGTAAGAAAATTTTAAAAATTAATTTTAAATTAAAAAATATATTGACATTTTAATTGCAATTCCTTTAAAATCAGTATACTGGCTGAAGTATGAATGAAGACTAAGAGATCTCTGTGTCTACAGGCATGTCTCATCCCCCCCTTGTTTTCACTCTTTTACCTCCAGATATTAATATTATAATCAGTTAGTATAGGACTGGCTTATAAAACATTGTAAGTTATATCTAAGCTCAAGAATATAATAGAAACTAACTCAAAAACTTTTCAAGAAATAAGATCTAGG